ATTACCCTAATTTACAATCACATCTCAATCTAATAGCTGTTAATAGTCGATATTTCTCACCAATCATTTGGCTCCATCTGGACCCATTTCATTCCAGGCTTTTAAAATTAACAGGTAACAAAATCTTCAAATTATATTAAACTCTCTCGGTGAATGTTTACAATGTGAATCTAGACTTACAAACTCAATAACAACTTCAACAGATTCAATTGTAATTCTGAGTCAAGACTGATACAAAATTTACAAGAAGCATTTGAGTAATGGATCGGAAACATTTCCGATCTCCAACTGTCGAACCAGATCATTGATATGGTATTTCCTCAATCTGCATTAACAAAACCACCTAATCTGCAAACCAAAAGTAGAAAGAATTACAAACACAAATCATGGTTTACATCATTCATTTATTCGCAAAGGGACAAAAAAGTGCATTGAGGAATCCATAATATGGCTATGAATTTCATGCCTGATCAATCCATTACGTATTATTAAAGCAATGGTCTATGATGATTTCCATACCTTTCTACCAAATGCAACGATGGTAAATAAGAAGTTCCCAACCTAGAAAGGGAAAGCAAAGAAAACGTGAGTAAATTCCATTAAAGCTCTTGCACTTGTGTGCTTCAGTGGAAAAGCGCACAGTTTTTCAAACTGAAAATTTATTTGGAGTATAACCTCAACGCTTGGAGAATTGTGGACGCTTGCGAGCCTTCTTGAGACCAACTTTCTTCCGCTCCACAACTCTGGCATCTCTAGTTAGCAGGCCCTCTTCCCTCAATGGTTTTCTATGACTCTCACTGATCTTTAGGAGTGCACGAGCAATGCCAAGGGAGATTGCTTGAGCCTGCCCAGAAAGACCACCGCCTTCCACCTTGACAAAAATATCATAGCTAGCCTCATATCCTAAAGTGGCCAGAGGAGTTTTAACATATTGAATCCACAACGGATTTCCTTGAAGATATTCCTGCAATTCATGACAAGTGTTAGTCTGATAGAATCAAAGCAATAAAGCAATGAAGAAAAAGATAGCAGTACATTACATACAAAAAGAAGCAGGCAATGTTAATCAGAATGTTAATGACTTGTTGCCTCATCGACACCAAGTATATGACAGAGAACTCAATAATCTAGATGCACTTCCATAGCAACATTTTCTTTTTCATAAGGTAAGATAATTTCATTAACAGAATACCGAGGAGGTACTTCAAAAAGAAAAAGTTACAGCATTGCTTGTTACAATTACACTCCCAAAAAGTCGAGAGTTCCCATAGCAACATTATAGAGGTACAAATTTCACACACCTTTTGATCCCAAGTTAAGGGTTTTCAAGTGTGCTAAACACAACTTAATTCCCTATATTAGGTTAGCACGTCCTACTTATCTAATATAATTATTCAATTTCTGCCATGCTTTTAGAAATGTAATTCGAAACGGATAAGTTGTGTTCTCAGGCTTCTGTTATAACTTATATGCACCGATGATTCAGAGAACTAGTTTACACATGCATTTCTCAGAAACTCAAAGTTATTCCTCTGCAACTTTGCTATCATTGCTTTTCCAAGTCAAATCACACTTTACAATCTATATACACTCTAAGGCCTCATTTGTTTGCACTTAATGGATATTTGAATCTTAATCATTCAGATATCAGACGTTAAGTACGTTTGTTTTTAAAGTCTAAATCTTAATTATTCAGATCTTAATCATTAAGTGTGATTTTTTTTTTACTTTACTACCACTTAATGGGTCTGAATAGGTCAGTATGATTAAGATCTATAACGGAGACTTAATTTCATTAAGATGCTATCATCCATATTCATTATTAACTGCCGCCATCGCCTACCATTATCAACTACCACTATGCCGCCGCCACCACACCACCATCATCATCAATCATAGCCGCCACCATTATCGACTATCACCACCCATCATCTCCACCACTACCGCCACCATCATTCTCAACCACAATCAACACTCATTCACCTCAACTACCACAACTAACTACCCCATCACTATCAACAACCACAGACGGCACTGCCCATCATTATAACCTACCAACACCCATCACCACCTTCCTCAATCACAACTATCATCTTCCTCAATCACAATTACCACCACTACCCGCCATTATTAACTATCACCACCCACCGCCATCATCCTCAATCATAATCGCCACCGTTACCAATCACCACTAGCTACTACCCTGAACCACCACCTTCAACCAAAACTACCACTAACCACCGCCTCTAGTCGGCATTCACCCGTTAGCCATCACCACCAGCAACTATCATATTTTAAAAAACTATATATTTTATTGATAGAATATTAGATTGTTAGTATTTCATTTGAATTTTATGTTTATTAATTTTCAAATAAAGATAAATCTTATACGTTCAGGTGTTAAAAATCAAACAGTCTTAATCATTTAGTATTCAGATCTTAATACACATCTTAATATTCAGTTGTGTATTCAGATTCAGATGTCTTAATCTTAATACACATTCAGACGTCTTAATCTTAAAAAAAAAAAAAAAACAAATGATGCCTAAGAGAGCTGTCCCTCCCTTATATATTTCTTCACATAGAACATTATGAAGCACCGCTTGTCTTCCTAAACCCTGTTATCTACATCCATTTTAAGTGACCAATTTAGCAAACAGCAGCTTTAAATAAGACACGTGAGAATCATGGTCAAACCATGATAAACCAACGGGCTACCTGCTTATTTTATGAAACTGAGCAAGATAATACCTAATGCAATTGCTTGAGAAGCGAAATTTTTTCCAAATTATCATCTGCAATAAATTGTTCCAATGACAGATAATTTTATATATGTCGCCTACATGAATCTTCTGTCATCATTCAGTTTCAATCGGTTCATTTCATCCAAAAGTAAAGAAATTGTTAACTTAGCCACATTAGTGCCTGTCTGTATGTCTTCTACCTATTTATTGCAAACTAGTTGAAGCACGCTGCTCTAATTGGTCCATTTCATCGAACACTAAGCAATTTCTCAATCAAGGCACATTAGGTTCTTTAAATCTCACATTTATTCAACACACACAAATCTCCACTGAAACTTTAAGAAAACAATTCTATACCGCTATAATAAACTTAAGAAATACAATTTCTATTAAGCAAAGCATATCGGTAAATGCAACTGAGAAAGGAGAACGAAGCGGACCTTGGCATCACGATAATTGATGATGATTTTTCCAGAACCTTCCTGAAGGACAACACGAGCACTAGCGCTTTTACGTCTGCCAGTTCCGAAAATAGGCTGTGCAGCAAAACCGCCGGGAAGTCTACTTTTCACAAGCTTCAGAAGTTCCTCTCGCGTTTCCAATTCCGGCGGCGCCGGTGCTTCGGCGACGGAAGCTGACACTACGAGTGTAGGAATTTTGGAAGTGAGAGATAAAGGGAATGGCTTTGAATTTGCGAAAGATATGGCATAGGGTTTTTGAGAAATTTGTGAGGAGAAGGAGAGAGAAGCAAAGGATGAGGTGAGAGAAGCGAGAGAAATCGCCATTTTCGACTTTCTCTCGGGTTAAGAGTGAAGGGTCGAATTTTGAAGCGAAGCAGTGGATAATGTAAAGCCGATCGGTAAAGGCCTGTTTGGTTGAAGGGACTGTTAAATCCCCAATCCATTATCCCAATACGGCAATACCCAAGATTTTTTTTTTCTTTTTCCTCAAAGGTATATATTATATTAATGCATAGATATGCATATATATTATTAACGGAAAAGGGCCAAAAATGCCCTCCTTTTATAAATGGCTCAAAAATGCTCTCCTTTCACCTATGAGTTCAAAATGTTATTTTTAGGCTTAAAAATGCCCTCTCTTAACGAAAAAATGACATGACATTGATGGACATTTTAATTAAACATGTAGCATTTATTTAGTCCGAAAAAAGTGAATTTTTTTTACTAAAAACTGAAAAATTTTAAAATATTTTTTTTTCCAGTTTTTACAAAAAACTGCTTTAAAAAAGCTGAAAAATATTTTCTAAAACAATATTTTTGTAAAAACTGAAAAGCAATTTTCTAAAGCAATATTTTTGTAAAAGCTGAATAAATGCTATATGTTTAATTAAAATGTCCATCAATGTCATGTCATCTTTCCGTTAAGAGGGGCATTTTTAAGCCTAAAAATAACATTAAGGGCAAATTTGAACCCATAGATGGAAGGAGGGCATTTTTGAGCCATTTCCAATACGTTAAGGGCATTTCTGGCCCTTTTCCGTATTACTAATACAATACAAAGATTAATATTGTGAGCCAATGTTGCAGTTGCTTTGCTGTGATTATTATTTCTTATGCGAACAATTGAAGGTAACATTAACTATGCCAAAAAAAATGTTTCTTACACCACCAATTAAACATTATACTATTCCATCCATTTCAATTTATGTGAACTTATTTCTTTTTTAGTCTGTGCAAAAAAGAATGACTCCTTTTCATATTTGAAAATAATTTGTGCAGTGATTTATAACCACACAAAATATGTGTCTCATTTTACACCACAAGTTTAAAAGTTTCTTTTTTTTATAACTCTGTGTCCGTTCAAATAGGTTCACATAATTTAACACGGAGGAATTAATATTTTATGTGGAGGTATTATGTAAAAGATTCATTTTGCTAAAGCAAAGCAGTCAACCAAAGGACTCCTAGAAAGTTGTCATGTTAGGAGTAAGTGAAATTCCCATCCTCTTGGAGGCTAAAAGGAAGAAGGGGAGAAAAAGGTGTTGAAACTGTTTAACCCCCTAAAATATAAAAATAAAAACTTTGAAGTAGAGGAATGAAAGGAAGATACTGAAATAAGATGATATACTCTATGCAATTTGGTTTGTAAACTAGTGACTTGATAAAAAGTAATGGGACGATAATGTTTTGGCGTGTAACAGAGTAACATATAGTCATTGGTTTGTATCGTGAGTATCAAGTAGCAACCTATTCATATTGGGGTTTAGCATCAGCTAAGAACAAGAGGGCTCTGCCGTCCTCTTAACAACTAGAACTGTTCAGAAATTTAAAGACTTCACGGGGACATTGAAGTACACATACTGACCAAACAAGATAATGAGTTTTCAGCACCACAGAGTATGAAACATCTTTCTGTTTCCAATACCTCGGCCTATCATGTTGGTGCTTTCATCTTAACATCTGTGTCATTAGACAACCTAGTGCAGTTTCTACATTATATATATGCTAAACTAATATAGTCAAGTTCCATACTTGAAACGCATATATCTTACTAGGCCTTAAGCTCTCTAGCTTTGACATGCTACCGATTAAGGGTCAAGGTACACAATTTCAGCTTGTACTGAAGCTCTCCTGAAGCGAAGCAACTCTTTTAACATCTCCCATGCACCATCAACTGACGCGGGCTTAACTGTCATCCTTTCAAGAATGGGTGAATTTGCAAGCAGAAAATTGATGAAGTTCAGCTCTTGTTTTACGCCAGAAATACCAGAAATTTTAACATGCCGCAGTTGATTAAACATACAATTCTGATAATTCTCTTCCATAACACTGGCCACTGTTCTCAGAGCAATTTGTTCGTCTGTACGTGCCTGCATAACGACAACGACATGAATGCATAAAACTTTAAAGGCACAGTTCAACATAGACTGAGAAATATACAAAAGCTGCGAATTGGTATGTGTTATATGAATATATCAATGCAGTCAAGCGTGGCGATGCCAGTTTAAGATTGGTCCTAATGAAGTTCAAGTGATATCTGAAACTCACCAACAGCTCGAGCTCTTGTAGGTTAGGGGAACTTCTGAGAAGGCAAAGTGCTGCCAGACACTCTTCGCAATGGTTGAAATTTATGCGTATCGAAAGAAAACTAAGCTCGTTACAAGGTGTAGGTAGTCTTCCTGGTACCTTACCATCAGCCAGATACTGTGGGCATAACAATGATTAGCATTTGTAATGAGCATAACATGCAATGTAAAAACTTCCTCCAAAGTTGACTTAGTTTCTCCATTTTCAAGCATCCAATAAATAATGCAGGGAGAGAATTTGGCAAAGGCATCCTTTAGCAAATTTTTACATTGGGTTTAAAAAATAAAAACAGTTAGGGTCTGTTAGGCTGGGTACAAGATATATTACACAACAGTGTATTTGTGAAAATCTTTTCAAGAAACCAATTCTTACAAAATTTCCAGTGAATCTAAAATGACGCCAATGGCTGTAGTAGAATGTAATGGCAAATGTGATGATAGTGTATTTTGAAATAGTAAATCATAAACGGTGATTACAATGGCTCAAATAAGGACTAGTGAGTACTAATGGGCAGTGACAGTGGGAGATTCATAATAAAATATGACTTGCACCGTAGGACACAAGTCATTTTCACGTGGTAGTATTAAATGACTTTGACCATAGTCCATAATCAAATTGCAGTGTGTTAGACAACCAAACACCAGAAAGTAAAAGATCCAACTACATACTTTTGATTGTCAAACATCTTTTTATGCTGAAGTTTTACAGAAAACAAATGTTTGGGAAGAGAAGTTGCCATGAACTCTCGGGAAACCGACAATCATAGCACGAAAGATAAGTATGAAGAATACCTTCAAGAAAAAGCTCTGTACTTCGAGCCTTTGAATACGAGGCAAATGAGCAAAGAACTTTACCAAATTTCCAGCACTGCCTAGAGTAAGATTTCTGTCAAATCCAGGATTAACATACAACCCAATAGAAACGATGGCAAGATTGAATGTGTCCATAAAATTGATGTCTTCAAAGACGCCTCCAATGTCAAAGAAGAGGAGATTTGGTGCATGGATTTTAAGATCAGAGAAACCCTCAAAATTCATTAGTGTAAGCCGCTCAAGTAAATAGCAGCTCGATACAAGGTGCTCGAATGCATCCTGTTCCATGGTGATGTGCTGAAGATCGAGGCTTTTCAAGCTTCTAAAGCCACTGAATGAGAGAGGAGGCTTTAGAAGACAATTAAACAACTCCAAGTGGATCAACTTTTGACAAAGATATATAGAAGAATGGAGTTTGTAGCGGTGTCCTTTCCATATTTCAAGAATAAATTCCTTCACAGAACCTCTTGATAGAAAGAGAATCCATCTATCAATATCACACACCCCTTGAAGATCCCGGTGAGAAAGCTTGAACTTGTGTATGGGACCAGAATGAAGTAAGAGAACATGATCAACAATGTTTACTATCTTATTTTTTATGAAGGTTTGGTCTTGGGAAGAGATCAAAAGAGATTGATTGTCAAATACAAGGTTTGGAAGAGTAACCCATTTATATCTCCATTTACTGGATAAGACACTTGTCCTCGCAGCATCTCTAAGTGACAAATGAGACAAAATCTTGTCAACAATCTGTGCTGGTAAGTTGCTGATCTTGTCCACCTCCAGTTCTGCATTGCAAGGGTGGTTCGGTAGTATCCTTTGCTTCTGCATAGTGACAAAGAAGAAGTCCATTCAAATGAGAGAAACATGTCTTTTTAGTTCACAACATACATCCTTAAAAATATGTTAATATGAAAACCCAAAAAAAAATTAGAAATCATCACAGCGGGTTTTTGACCAAGAACAACATAATCAGACTCGAGCAATAGAAAATATGATGCTACTAGACGTTTTGTAAAAAGAAACCAGTTTAGATATCCTAACCAATATTCAAGCAATTATGAGCAATGCCCCCGATTCAAGTAGTGATTTATTTGGTAAAGCTCAAGAAGCAGGAACTGCCCTTATAACTCTTGTCAGGGGGGTTCCACCCACAAACACATAAGTTTAAGAATGAGCAGTAGTGCCCATCATCAATCAGCTATTGCATTTGTTTTTCCCATTGCACAACCTCATCTTGCAATCAAGACTGAGCGAGTGATGACAACCTCTAAAATTGTGCTAGAAAATATAGTAATGTAATTTGTCAAACTTATCAAAGAGTAAATACAACTAATATATTCTGTCAAGAAATGCAGCAGATAAACCAAAAACTAGGGGCATCAATTATCTTATCGCCAGAAAAAAAAATGTAGAAAAGAAGCAACTATCAGTGGAAAAAATGAATTCATCATTACGCAGTCCACCATGAAAGGAAGCATGGAACTTACCACAACACTCATTTCTGGAAATGAGATCGTCAAGAATGGCACACCTCAGAGAGTTCAGAGTACAAGCTCTATTTGAGGATTTGGGCTGGTCTGCCTGATTCAAAAATAAAGGGTCAAACGTAACAGTAAGCCACCAAGTAGCATTAGCATCCATAGAGTAGTAGAAGGCACACATCCACTTGCATAAACATTAAAACTGTAGCTCTCTACTATTTTCCAAAAGAAAAGTCTCATTCCTTCACCACCAAAGTTTCATTGTTCTAAGAATGCTGAATTAGATTTCAGTAATCATTTGAACACCTCCATCAACAGAAGCAACCACTTTAAATGTTGCTTCGAAAAGAGATGCCCTAACTACTAACTTCATCAATTAGCTAATGAATTCATTACAGAATTTTGCAAAGTTGTTTGGATAACTTTTGAAAGAAATTTTCCGAAATTCCCTTTTTCTAAAAAGACATCAAGCAAAAAGAAAATGTGTTTGAATAGTTGTAGGTTTATGAAGATTGTAAGTGTTTTGTAGGTCGGGGAACTTTCTTAAAACAACCCTAAAACTTCTTCAAAAAATAAAGGGCAGCCCGGTGCACTAAGCTCCTGCTATGCGCGGGGTTCGGGAAAGGGCCGGACCACAAGGTCTATTATACGCAGGGTAAGTTCTACAAGAGGTTGTTTCCACAGCTCGAACCCGTGACATCCTGGTCACATGTCATCAACTTTACCAGTTACGCCAAGGGACACCCTTCTTCAAAAAATAGCTTCTAAAAAAATTTAAACAAACACGTATTTGTACAAATTTCTTCAAATATTTCTTTATTTGGTTTTAATAAATTTTATGCTTGTCCTTCGCTAATTGAGGTACAATCTTCAACCGAATCATTTAAATTTGCCACTTGCATACTTCCAGTACAATGTACATTCAATTGATTAAATCATATGGAGAATCGCTAACATAACTCACAATTAAAAGTTTCCAAGTAAATCTAAATCAGAGGCATTTAACCAAAGAATAAAAATTATTCCATATCCCAAAAAAATGAGCAATTATACAATCTGCTACACTTATGTTACTAACAGAGAGCAGTAGCAGAAGAAATTAGTGTATTAATACAGTGCAAGTTGTTTTCGGAAAGGAAAAAAAAAAGACCTAAACGAGCCCAGGCAAATGAAATTAACTCAAAAGAGCATAATCCACAAACAACATTTGTTTTCTTAGCTACTTCAGAAAAAGATCCATTAGACCTAAATTGGTATTTAACACAAAAGGGCAATAAATGAATACTCAACAATTCTAGAGCTTACTTCCTGAACCATGGTAAAGGGCTAAATTAGCAGAGAGAGAAAGACGAATACCTTTAGCTTGATGAATTTGATGATTCAGTTTAGCCGGAAAAAATGGAAGCTACTGGGTGTACGAAGGAGAGAAAACGGGTAGTAGCTACACCGTTTATACTAAAACTAGTGAGAGCCCAATAACTATAAATTCACATGCTATTATACTATATTATAATACTCTTCAACATATTATTATTTTAAATATGATTTTGTACAGATATGTAAATATACATTATAAGAAAATTAATTAAAAAGAAACTATTTAATTAAAATAAAGACAAAGTTGGCAAACCTTTGATCTTCATCACTAAAAAGTAATCTCCTATTAAATGTTAAATAATTCTCCACCATGAATGTGGTTAATTGGGAATCCTATTATATGATGAATTATAACTACACATTAATTTGTTGTAAACCATAAAGTTTAAATGTCAATTCCCTTGTATTTTTCATTTGTGATTTATTGGTTCGCTTTTATTTTTCAAAAAATTAACTTCTTCTAACATTTCATCCATGTATCACCAATTAAGAGCTACCTTTTATAATTTCATAACCGATTTACAAAAAAACATATTAGCAAACTTAAATACATTAACCAATATTCTCTTCATTGTTGTAAAATATTTGGAGAATTTGAGGAGCTGCTTTAAATATTTTGTTTGCCTAATTTCATTCAACAACTTACTCAATTCTTCTCTTCCTCTTATTTCTATTTTCAATTTTTATTTTGAATTTGTGTGATACTATTTTTCCTGATTTTGTTTCCCTGCTTCTACAACGCATTGAGTACAAAACGAGCCAAATCATTTAGCACCAGTGCCATGCAGAAATGTTAAACACCAAATATATTTCTCAAAATAAATTGCAAAAGATTTTACTATTTGTGAGCAATTCATACTAGTATGTGAAAAGTATAAATTAATTTCATATTTTGGAATGCAAATCCAATTCTTGCAGTGCATCGCAAGGTATCTATTTACATTGATTGGTTCACTAATTTTTTCAAGATATAATACTGAAAGTATCTCAATGAATTGTGAGGATCATTTTAATGTAAGATAAACTGAACTGCCCTTATCTTTTTTATTTTTAAATACCAGTAAAATATTTTAAATTATTTATCTTTTTATTTTTAATTTACCAAAATTACTGTGCGCCTCCTGAAATATGGGCATTTGAGAAAATGCAAAGGAATTTTGGTTCTTGGACTTGAGGAATCTAACACACTTCCTCACTCTCGATAGGAAGCCGAACACAAAATTACTTTTTGCCCATTTAATTTTATAAATTTTCTTTTCAATTATTCTTTTGTTGTTGAGTGAGCTAAATAAGATCATATTTATACTTTTTTAAAAAAATTTAAACATTTTCTTTTAATTCTATGACTCAAATACATTTTTAATAATATATTTTTTTAACTTTTGTACTCATTCGTATGGGTTACACGCGCGATGCGCATGTCAAAAAATTAGTTATTATATATGGTAATAGACTTATGCCTTTAGGAGCTGCTTATAACCGTCAATTATTATTATTTTTTTTTTGTAAATAAAAATTAAATATGTGAATAATCCGCATCTATATGTATATCTTTGGTTCTCTGATAAATGTTGGAGTGCAATTTTAGTTTCATTATTAGAAGATACTCTTATGTTAGAGTTTATTTTCAGACGATCAATAGCTATTTCAAAATCACTTAAAATCATTAATAAGATAATTTACATAAAGTATTTTGTTACTCTATATATTATATCGTTAAACAAAACCAATGTCGTTTGCTTATCTATGTGCTGTATTTATGCTTTTCCGTAACATAGTAATTGTAAAATTTCGCTTCCCTTTTCAATCTTTTCTTTCTGATTCAGCTCCATATAGATTCCAATATTGAGCTAAGAAAATCTTTTTCTATATAAAAACTTGGTTATATGATTTTTAGCCCTTTACCTTATTGGATATTACTATTTAGGAGTGGTAATTAAACGTGCGAGTCATTTTGGATATGGACGGGACGAAAATGGGTAATACAAAAATAAATAAAATATCTGACCCAATAGGAATAGAAAATGAGTTAACTTGTGGATAATATGTATTTCATTTTATTTATGGTTTATTGAATATGATCACACTTGGAAAAAAAATAGTTTTCCAAACTTGAATAACCCCAATTTGAGTCTTTGCAAATTAATATAAAAGTTAAACATATTGGTTATCTATTAATTATCCATATTTTAAGTGGTAAATATAAATCTTTTTTATATTTAACCAATTTTTAAAAAATTTACTATCCAACTCATTTTTAATGAATAATATGAATGAATTATTTTTTTCATTCATTCTGCCACCACTGCTACTATGTATTACCCATAAAATCAATGCTAAATTGGTGAAAGCTCTTGGTAGGAGTCGCATTTCATTTTCATTGTACACAAATTCATAGTTCGATAAGATTACTGGTCTTAGCATCTCAACATTAACCACTATACTAATGTCCTGTTAGAAATTCAACAATGTGCGGCAATAAATTTTCTATCCTATAGCAAAGAATGAATATAGTTTTTGACCTAGTAAAGAAGTACTGCCTCTTGCACATGTAATATGTTTCTCCAATTATTTTTATCTGGTATTTCAATTTTAAAAAGTTGGTTCAAGATATTGCCACTTTAAAAAATTAAGAAGGCGTTAATTATATCCTTTCAAATAGGAGATAAGAGTAACTTAGTTAATTATCTCTTATTATTATTAACTCAATTGGATTATTTTTTCTCAATGAGTATATCAAACTCTTAAATAATAGGAGTAGATAAAAGGATATGAGGGTGTAACTTGAGATACGCAAGTAGGACCCAAATATATAATACTCACTCCGATCCATAATAAGTGACCATTTTACTTTTGTCACACCCATTAAGGAAATACGAACTTCTAGAAAAAAAAATGTATTCATTAAATTAACCTTAATTAATTGTTACCTTGACAGATTGGAATATATAAATAAGGGTAAATTTTGGAAAAAAAAATTAATTTCTTCTTAATTATATAAATTGACACTTATTTTGAACCAAAATAAAAACGTAAAATAGTCGCTTATCGTGGACCGGATGAAGTATTATATAAAAGGGTGTAATTGCTTTGACACATGTGTAAGGCAAAGGTGGGAAGGTTTGTGTGGGGCCAGGACGTGCTATCCACGTGAGGGAGTACTAATGTAAGGCAACAATGTTGTAGGGAAAAATGTGTAGTGACACAGAAGAAAAGGGCAATTTTGTCAACATTCAAAATTATATACAGCAGCTACAGTGGAATTTCTTTTTGACCAATCATATTGCTCCATGTTGACCTGCTGCTTGCTTTGGAATTTGGAGCTACTGATTAAGGGCCCGTTTGTCCATTAAAAAGATTATGTTTTTTCGAATTTCTTTTTACTTTTTTTGCGGAATTAGTATTTGGTCATAAAAATTTTAAATTTCACTTGAAATTAAATTTTAGATTTTTTCGGAATTTGAAAAACTGCAAAAAAATTATACTTTAATGACTCACAAAAAATCAAAAACAATTTAAATTGTATTCATATTCAAACATAATTCTAATTTTCAAATACCATTTTTTATTTAATATTTTTCCCCGCTCTTTTCCGAAATTCCATAGTTGTTATGTCAAAACGCCTATTAAGAATATCGTATTAGACTACAGTCACTACACTACCCAACAAAATAATTAGTTGTGGGTTACAACATTCCATAATCGAATTGAATTATAACTTTTGAGTTTTGACACAATTTAACTCTACTTTAGCTTTTTGACATTTCTAGAAAATTATTTTCCTTTCTTGATTAGAGATGTGCTCGTCACAACTTTTTGACCTATTTTTTCACGAATCCCGTTAGCTTTTTATTTTACTCAATTTATGAGTACAACAAAAATATGAAAATAGTTTCCATCGTTATATTTTGTTTAGCGTGAAATGCATGCATAATACAAAGGTATAATTTAATAGATCTTCCTTCAAGTTTGACTTCATAATATTAACCTCCCTTATGTTTTACTATNATATATATATATATATATATAATGAAATACAACCCAAAGTCATGTCAATTAGGTAGGCATTATACACAATATAACAAGATAGATAGAATATAGAAAATATAAAGTCATGTCAATCTGACGGAATTCTATGAACATCGAACAAGCACAAATTAAAGTCATGCCAATCTGACATGACTTATGAACAATTTAATAAGATAGATAGAATGAAAAAAATAATACCAAATTATACCAATAGAACAAAGATCAATTAAACATATGTTTGTCTATGATACGTTTTAATTTGGAATCCATCAAACTTTACTAATGCCGCTATTAGTATGTGTTTGCATTTGGTTCCTGTTTATTTCCAATATCAAGCAATAATAATGATTCATTTAGTCGCTGGATGGGCCAGCAGTTTCTGGAAGACCCAATTCTAAGAATTGAAGGTCTGGATCATTTATACGGAGAGCCCAATACATTTTTTTGTGAATGGATTGGGTCATCTAAGGTTCAGATATGGACAAGTTACATACTTAGCCGGTCGACAAAAAATAATTACATTTACTAGTTGATATACAAAAAATATTCGCTGGTTATATAAACAATATAAACACTTTTTGTATATTATATATTAATTTTCAATAAATATACATTTCACTTGCTATTATTTTTTAGAACGACTATTTATAAATATACTGTATAGTTTTTTGAGTTGTTGTGGATGCAAAGTTCCAGTTCTACTATTTCATGACTATAATTTTAGTTTAAATTTGTCTCTCGGGTCATAAGCCCATAATCTTTGTGGAAGGTATATTATATACTGGGAATGTTAGTTTTCAAATTATGAAATAATTTTTAAAGTTAATTACAAATAATTCCTCACTCTATATGGATTAGCAACTCAAACAATGAAAAAGCTATAATAATAATTATTAGTTATACTTCATAAACAGTTTAAAGTTGGAGTCCCCTTCAATTAATAGTGGGTTCTTATGCTGTCACCGGTCTTGTTCGTTTAGTGCTTAAACCTAAAGCTAGCTAAGGAGCAAAGGCGGAGCAAAAATATCGGGAGCGGGTTCGGCCGAACCCAATAGTTTTGAT